TTTTTTTTTCTTTTTAAGCTTATCTATTGAGCATATAATAATACATTCATACGTTTCAACAAATGCAAAAGGGTTTTCACTGTTTTAAATACTGGACTTCTACAGACTTCATTGACAGAAAGGATTCTCTGGTTTACATAAATTTGAACACGACTAATCTAAAACAACCTCAGTGAACAGCAAGGCAGGGGTAAGCAAGCCCCAGGTCATAGAAGAGTGTTTCCCAAGTTTGTGTAGTGAGCTGGGAGTCATGTTGCTAAGACTTGATCTCAGAACTCCTGACTTCCATGTCATGAGGCTACCTCTGAGTGGCTGTGGCTGCTCAGTAGGTGTGAGCAGGAGTGCTGCGTGGCCATGCCAGCGGGGTAGTGCCACCTCCCTGACCAGGCTTAGCCCCCACCTCCATGGAACCTGCTCACCCTTCTTCCAAGCCCCAGCTCCTGCTGGGACTGGCTCATGGGCTCTTTTATTAGCCTCTCGACTTGTTTTCCTCCCTTTGGGCTTGTTTACCGGGAGCGCGTGTTTTTGGAAACCTTTTTCTCTAAGCCAAACAGTGGGAGCGCGACACTCAGTTTGCGTCAGCAGCCCAGCTGGGGGCCAGGCCTTCATCACTGCGTCCCTTGGACCAAGAAGAGCAATGTCTCCTTTGTCTCACCCTAAACACCCCTTTCTTCCTTGGCCTACAGGCAGAAAGCTGAGATTCTTGCACTGGGAGAGGGAGATGGAGATCCTGGGATCCTTGGATTTTAAGATGCTCTTCCAAACAATTGTTAAGTGGCAGAGCCAGGATATGAACCTGTTCATTTTGGCTCCAGAGCCCATAATCTTACCTTTATGCTATATTGCCTCTGTAAAAGTTTACAACTACTAGTCTGATGTGGTAGCCAGTAGCCACATGAAATAAAATTTAAAATTCAGTTTGTCATATGCACCAGCAATGTTTCTAGTGCCCAATAACCTCATGTGGTTAGTTGCTACCACATTGGGCAGTGCAGATAAGAACACTTCCATCATCTCAGAAAGTTCTATTGAACTGCATTGCTCCAGATGTATACTCTTTCTACTCAAATCAGATTTGAAGATTGCAACTCAGATTCTGCTTTGCATTCTAAGAATCTATGATTCTGAGACCCACAGCCTAAAAATCTATAATTCTGTGATTTCCGCCCAGTTGTGACATTCTTGGGCTTTTTGGTGTCCATGGAGAGCCCTAAGGAGGCCCTTCAGGTTTTAAAGGAGATGAACTGGGGAGCCAGCTGTACTTTTCCATGCCCAGAGTCTTTCCAAAGAGAGAGAAATGACCTCAGCTTTGGGTCCTGCTGGCAGCCAAAGACGGGTTTTCAGCAGTCTCCAGAGCAAATAAAGGCAAAAGGAAGGGACTGGATGTACGGAATGGAACAGGAGGAGGTGGCAGCAGAGTGGCGGTGGGGGTGTCTGCATTTGATGGCCACTGATCCAAGGGAAATAGACCTCCTGCTTCCCCTACCCCCGCCCGGGCTGCTTTTCCTCCCAGCACCTCAGCCAGTTCATGGCCGAACTGGGCGCCTTTCAGGTGACCACCTAGGAGATAGTGGCCGCCGCCAAAGGAAACAGTATGCTCAGTATGTTGCGGTGGAGAACACGCCAACAGTGGAATGGCCCTGCTGTTCACTCCTAGGGGCTAGGGGCAGATTTCTTTCCTCTCTGAGCCTCAGTCTTCCCACCTGTACCATAGGGGAGAAAGACATGCTTTGAGCCCGAAATGGGATGCTGGGTTATGAAAACACATTGAAAAGAATAAACACATACATCTCACAAATAGTTAACTAAAGAGAAACAAAGGAGGAGGTTTCACTTAATACAATTTTGCCGACTGGGTAGGAAGAGTCTGCCCTTAAATGTGTTTATCTTTCAATGGGCATGCTAGCCCTGGACTTGATTGGCAGAGCCTGTGTGCATAGTTGGTAAGTTCCGAGCACTGGGGTTTGGCCCTGCTGGGGTTACTGCTGTACACCATTCTCTTTGCAGGATGGACCTCTGGCCCCTTTGGCCAGTGGAGTTTAGAGAACCTCAGAGAGGGATCTCACGGGTGTGCAGAGATTGTTGCTGTGCATTTAGGAATAGTCCAGCTGCTCCCCCTCCCTCCTTTCTTAATATCGGGAGGGAAAATGTCCTGGGATTGGGAATATAGTACCAGCCACTTGGCAGAACCCAAAATTTGGAAAATATTCCTTCATGATTTTGCATTCTTAATACTCTCTGCCTGCATTTCTCCCCGACCCACACCCTGGACTCTGAGCATGATCCCTCTTAGGCTCATCCCAACTCCATGAGAAGGGAGGTTTGTCAACATGGAATGGGAATGTTGGATGACTTTGGACACGTGCTTCCTCCCTCTCAACCTCAGACTCCTCATGGGAAAATGTGACTAAGAACCCTTCCATACCTGTCTGCCTACCTCCCGATGTTGTTAGAAGTCTCCAGACCAAACAAGTTGCCATTGAGTTGATTCCAACTCATGGCAACCCCATGTGTTGCACAGTAGAGCTGCACTCCATAGGATTTTCAATGGCTGTGATCTTTTTGGAAGTAGATCACCAGGCCTTTCTTCCTAGGCACCTGTGGGTGGATTTGAACCACTAACTTATTGGTTAGTAGCCAAGTACTTATTTGTGCCACCCAGAAACTCTAGGAGGCTTCAAAGGGAGATTAGATATGTGAAAGTGCTTTAGAAACACTACAAGATTTAAATAATTATTTTTCCCTTCTGGCTGCACCACCAGGGATGTAAATGGCAGAAGAGGGTGAGTATGCCACTGGGGAAGGAGTGCAAGACGATGGTGAGGAGGACAGATTGAAGAGCTGTCAAAACTTCTTCCTAGTCAAAGAGGGGCGTGTGGTTCCTTTGCCTAGGAAAGGGACACAGACTCAGGAAACGTTGGTCTTCCTGTCTCTCTGACCCGAAGTTGATTACGTTTCCGGTTCTGGCTGGTTATTTCTCCAATGACATGGCTTCTCTGAAAGCCTAGACAGGATGACTTATATTTGTTCTAGCTGCCAGTCTCATGTTGGCCCTTCAACTTCAAATCATCTCAGACGAGTCCTTCATTGATGCTTTCTCTCCTGGTCCATTCGTCCAAAGCCAGACGCAGGGATTGTTTAGCTTGAGTCTTCCAAATAAGAAAGCAAAATAGGAGATTTTTCCACCTTTAAACCTGGAGAACAAGCATATAACTGTGTGAGGGGGAGGAACACTCCACAAACTGCCTAGAAAGGGAGGACTGGATTCTTCTGGGGCCATTGTTAAGCAATGCCAAGTCCTTAAGTCAATTCCTTTAAATTCCTGTTTTATTTCATGCAGACTAATGAATTAAGGGGTGAGGTTTTGAGTCTATCTGAGCCTAAAAAAGAATAGTGATGAAGTCTGCTCTTCCTCTGCTCATTCCTGATACCCAAATACCACAATCCAAGAGACAATGGTGATACCAGAGGTGATGACATGTACCAAGGCCAGCACGTGCCTGTGCCATTTTAAGGGTGTTATAAGGGCCCAATTTACCACTCAGGAGGAGACCTCAAGGTTCACCTACTCTAACCCTCTCAATTAATGGGTGGAGTAAGCAAGGTCTAGAGAGGGCAAAGGACTTACCCAAAACCCCACAGCAAGATGGTATTGAGGTAGAACAAGACCCCTGCTATTTAATTCCAAGCCAAGTATTTTTTTTTTCCATGAAGCCCGGGTACCACCCACCAAGATGCTTAGTCGCTTGAGAAGTGTTGGAAGAAATTAGGGGTGATGAGCCTGATCAGGAAGTTTTGTGGGACAAAGAGGTGGGGAGGGGGACAACGGCCATTGCTCCCTGTGGCTGAAAGGCTGTCTTGGGGCAAAAGGAGTAGGCTTGTTCTTTGTGGATCAGGGTAGACCAGGAGTTTGAGGGAGGGAGGTTTAGATCAGTATAAGAAAGAACTTCCTAAAGCCGTTTCTTTGGAAATGAAGTCCGTTTAGTCAGAATGAAAAATAAAATATTCCCACTATAAATCCTTTGTTAGGGATGGAATTTTGGTATTGAATTATCAGAGAAGATTCTGCTCTAAGATCCCTTACAATCTTGAGATTATTTTATTAGAGTCTAGAGAATAGGTCTTAGCAGTGACCAGAGCAGGGGAATTTTCTAGATCTCAACTAATATTCTTCAGCTGTGAAAGGGAAAGAGAAGATAACATGCAACCCATGCAAGCATTTGGATAGAGTTTCCCTAGAGGATCCAGAGAAATGTTGTTCCTTCTGGGTAGAATGGAGAAAAATGTGGCCACACAGAAGTTTCCACTGTCCACGCTCCAAGATTATTGTTCTTTGTTTTAGAAAGTAGGTCTCATTGTCTCAAATTGGCAAGCGGTTTCCGTCTGTTAACTTCTCCCATTGCAGAGGGGGTGGGAAGGAGAAGGAGGAGGAGAGCTTAGGATATATAGGAAAAAAAGAATCCTAGAACATCAGGGATTGAAGGGTCCTTGCGGATGGTCTGGTTTGGCATTGCTCAAACTTGACTAACAAGCCAATCACGTTTATTGAGTCACTTTTTAAAACTTGAATAAATGTATAGAAAAAGGAGACTTTATATCATTACCATAAATGGAAAAATCTGTGCACATATGCTGCAAATAGAAGGAAACTGTAAAAATAAACACAAAGAAAACAAAACAACTTCATTGAATTCCAGCTGGATATAGTTTCCTGTGGAGGCGTGGGGTCAGAGGCCTGTTCTCTCTTTGTTAAAAAGGGAGACAGATGAGTGTTAAAGAGGTGCTAAAGACATCTTGGCACCACATTGAGACTTTCTTCTCATAGAATCAGCATTGAAAGAGAATTGAATGGTAGCAACTTTCTCCCTCCCATTGTCATTTAATGCTGTTCCATGTACCATCTAAAATTACCTTGCATATCATAAGAATTCAGCATCAGAAGGAACTCTCCATCAAGAAGTTCCCACTCACTAAAATCTCAATCTCTTTCCTCCCCACAGAGTTCCCAGCACCATGAGGGCCTGGATCTTCTTCCTCCTTTGCCTGGCCGGAAGGGCCTTAGCAGTACCTGTAAGTACATAAAGATCATATCTTCTTGGTCTTACCTCTTACCATCAGCTCCAGGACTTCTGATTTTGCCAGCCTTAGATGCTTAGAGGGCACAGGGACTTCCAGATCTTGAGTTGGTTATCTTTTTTTTTTCTGAAGCTCAGGAGCTCAGGAGAAATTAAGATGAGGACCATTGGGTGAAGGTTCCAGAGAAGAGAGATTTCTGTGTAAATGTGAAGACAAACTTTCTACAAGTCAGAGCTCCTCAGCTGGATATAGTTCCCCAGCTCTGACTCAGACAGAAATGAGCTTTATGTCATCTGAAATATTCAAGCAGAGGTAGAAGACTGCTTGTGGGAATGATGTTAGAAGGGAGTCAAGCCACGGAGAGAGATGGGTTAGTTTCTGAATCAATGAGTGTTGATTGCAAGCAACAAACTCAACCTGAGAAAATAAGAGGGGGAGAAAGATACAGGGATATATTATAGTATCCAAGGGCTGGGGGACTGAAAAATTACAGTTCCAGGATCTGGGAGGCATCTGAATGGATTAGCTCCAACAGTTTCCAAGTCTTGGGAGAAGATTTAAAAATCCAGGAAGAGCCAGTCTGGCTGAGATTGGGTCCTGAATCTTCTTGGCCAGGGGAGGATGGGGAACCTTGATTCACAGACAGTCCCTCCAAGAATTGTCTGCAGCAGCCCACGAGTGGTTATCCAAAGCTGAACCTGGAAGACCCCATGTTCTAGAAGAGAGAGGAAGAAATGTGGGGCAGGCAGAAAGAGCAGTTTCTTTTAATCTCTCTTTACTGAGGGGGTGTGAGTGATAGTAGGCCCTGGCAGTCTTGATTAGACTGATAGATTTTGGCAAAAGATTTGGCAAGTTTGGCATTAATTTTAGAAGCTGCCCTAGCTATCCAGGGACCTCAAAGCTATACGTTATTTTATCCACCTCTTCCTATCCACTTTTGGCAAGGAATTGCCCCCTCACCAAAAAAAAAAAAAGAATAAAAACAATAATGATAATAATAATACAATCACACTCTTGGGGGAAGATAATGACATCTGTTAAAATTCACAGAGTCCATCCCACTCTGGGTCTCAGTTTTTTTTTTTTTTTTTTTGAAGACTGAGGGGAGTTGTTCTGAATCAGTGGTTTTCAGACTTTATAAGAATTCAAAGCAGCAGAAATGCATCTTCAAGCTAAATCTTAGCTAGAAGCCCCAGCTATAAGACATATAAAAGGGAATGGCTCCGGTGTCCATGGGACTCCGTGTTTGGCTCTTCCTTTGCCCTCTCCTCCACCATGGCAGACCCTGAGGCCCGGCATTGGTGATTGCTCCATCAGCTGCACCTCAAGCTCCTCCAGTGTTGGTGCTTCAGGCCAGACAGATTTCAGAGACAAAGCTGGACCTGGCCCTGACCTTTCTGAACCCTATTTTCTCTTCCCAGCAGCAGCAGGAAGCCCTGCCCGATGAGACAGAGGTGGTGGAGGAGACCGTGGCTGAGGGGACCGAGGTACGCGGGTGGAGATCCCAGACCTCTAGTCCCTCCCTGTCCACACCATTGCCTGGGGAGCCAGATAGGTGCTGTGGGTCTCGCTGCTGGAATGGGGCAATTGTCCCCTTCCCATGTGCATGCAAGCACACATGTAAATTCTGTGCATCCCTCAAATCCCAACGCTGCCCTGAGTGCTTCCCAAATTTCATTGGAACTCCGTAGTGTGAAGCCATGATTTTGAAATGTTTTATTTTTAAGCTGTTTGCATGATCACGCATAATCTCCCCATGTATGAGCCAGATGAAAGAGGAGCTGCTCTGGTGTGGCTGGTAGGGATGAAGGGATTGGCACTGCCTCTTGCCTTCACACCCCCTGGGGGTCTATGAGGCATCTCAGCAAAATATACAAAACAGAGTGAGTCTATAAGTTAAATATAAATTCTAGATCCTGCCATTTGCACTCTCTGACCTGGGCAAGCCCACCTTTCCCTATCCCTTTGTGGGTACCTGAAGCTCCAGGGAAGATATTTCTTCTCGGTCCCCATCCAGTCTCTACCCGTTTTCTCTAGGTCCAGGATGGAGTGAGATTCGTTCCATTCTTTCTTCTCTCTCCACCTCAGGTAACTGTGGGAGCCAACCCCGTCCAGGTGGAAGTAGGAGAATTTGATGACGGTGCTGAGGAAGCTGAGGAGGAGGTGGTGGCTGAAAGTAGGTCTCTTTCCCAAGACCTGGCACTTCCAGCCTTGGCCCTCTGCTGCCTTGGCCTAGGGCATGGGGACAGGCCTAAGACAGGCCTACGTGGGATTCCTTCCCAAGGAAATGTAGGGTGGGAACCTCAGTGGGCTGCGGAGGGGAAACGGCTTTGAAGAAGGTTGGGAATATTCTCCGGCACTCAGTTCCCTGGAGTCTGGGAAAGACCTATTTATATCCAGACCATGAATGCTCAGAGGGACAGGAAGAGAAATTCCCCAGCAGGGATGACCTTCTCCCCCACAGCTCTTTTTCTTGATTCCAAAGTTGGGTTTCACATTCCCACCGAGGTCACCAGTCATGTTTGGTCACTGAGGTTCCTTCCCAGTGGCCTCTGCCCCAGCACAATGCCCACATGGGAGCAGACCTGATAATACCAAGTGCTTTCACGCTCATTAGTTGATTTGATTTTCAACAGTTTTGAGGAAATGAGGCCCAGAAACCTGACAAAACTCATGTAATATTACCCAGGGAGATAGTGCCAGAGGGCGAGAAATGACCCAGGGCCTCTGGCTTCAGCCCATCATGCTGCTGCCTCCAGTCCACAGAGTAGAAAGGTGTTATACTGCGGGGTTAAGAGCATGGACTTCGGAGGCAAACCAACCAAGGTTTGAATCTAGGCTTGTTCACTTCTTATGCAAGTGGCCTTGGACAGCTTGCTTAGCCTCTCTGAGCTTCAGCTTCCTCACCTCTAACATGAAATGGAGTCCCTGGGTGGTGCAAACAGTTAATGGGCTCGGGCGCTAACTGAAAGTTTCGAGGTTCAAGTCCACCCAGAGATGCCTCAGAAGAAAGGCCTGGTGATCTACTTCTGACAAATCAGCCATTGAAAACCCCATGGAGCACAGTTCTACTCAACACACATGGGGTTGCCACGTGTCACAGTCGAGTCAATGGCAACTGTTTTTAGCGTGGGAATAATAATGAAGATGGTACACACTCGTCCTAGGGTTGTTGGGAGGATTATGAGAGAAAGCATATGAGTATGTGGGTGTAGCTTGGCCCAGTGCCTGGTTGGGGAAGCATCCAATAAAGTATAAAATGCCCAAAATAAAGCATCAGGAGGAAAAGGCTAGATTAAGGTCGCATCCTGAGGGGAATCACCAGCGTTTGGATCTAGCCAAGCACAGAGTCATGTCCTTCCCTCCTCCACGCCCACTTCATCCGGTGGTGTTTACCAGACACATGCGGACCCTATTGTTCAAAGTGAACCTCAGGGCCCTTCTTCCTTTTCCTTTATAGCCTCTTAAGTCTGTTTTTTTGGGTCTCACAACCCCCCCCCCCAGCTCCATGACACAGCTGAACTTCCAAGTCATTCTAGAAAGTCTCTTCTAGAATCCAGAAATGCCTCACTATGATTGATCAGTCCCTGGGTGGTGCAAATGGCTAACACGCTTCGGCTGCTACTTGAAAGGTTGGTGGTTTGAGTCCACTCAGAGTCAACTCGGAAGAAAGCCCTGGTGATCTAGTTCCAAAAAATCAGCCATTGAAAACCCTATGGAACACAGTTCTACTCTGACACACGTAGGGTCACCATGAATTGGAGTCAACTCAACAGCAACTGATTTATTTTTATGACTGATCAACTGAGAGCTGGGAGCACAAAGGTTGCTTCAATCCTGGTGGCAGTCATAGGTCATCCAGTGTTTCTGGGTCCCAAACTGAGCCTCCAGCCTCAAAAGGAATGTCTGACCCTGACCTCAGACTGAACCTCTAACCCCTAGTCTGAGACACCTGCTTCCCAAATGCAGATTGTTAGGCTCTGCAGAAGAGCAGGGAGGACTCAGAGCTGCCTAGAGCCCAGAGTGGGGGCCACAACTCACACTGTCTGCCCAAGAATTGGTTTTGACTGGGTTGGGTGGACATGGTAGCTCAAGTGGTGCTAACTCCGGGCCCTTGCACCTACCAGACCCCTGCCAGAACCACCACTGCAAACACGGCAAGGTGTGCGAGCTGGATGAGAACAACAGCCCCATGTGTGTGTGCCAGGACCCTACCAGCTGCCCCGCCCCCATTGGCGAGTTTGAGAAGGTAAGGGCTAAGGGGCAGAGGAATGGGGGATTGAGCCCTTCAGAATAGTCCTTATCTCGTAGGGTTGTTGTGGGGATTTGTCAGATAATACTGGGTACATAGTAAATAACCAGTAAGTGCGTCTTATTTATTTTTCTACTATCTTTTAAACCTGTCCATCCTAACTCCAACAGGATCCATCCATCTATCCAAGTAACTATTGAGCACCCACTCATGCCAACCATTGTGCTTATGGTGCTCTAGCTCAGGGCAGCAAATCTAGTATCAGCATTATTCCATGACTTCCTATCTGTCTTCTCTGCCTTCAGTCTCTCCCCAATACAACATGCCCTCTGGGCTCCAAATTTTAGCATCATCCTTCATTATCTCTTCCCTCCTTCCCCGCAACTCCCCAAATCCCAGTGGTCACCAATGCCCATCAATTCTCCCTCACAGAATATAAGCAATACTAAGTACCTGCAGGATAGTCAACACAAGGCTCCCCTCCTCCTAATATAGCTGCTTACTGCTACTGCCTTTGATGCCTGCTTGACCACCCCTGTGTTCTGAGATTCCCTAGAAGGATTCACATGACTCAGCATATACCTGTACTCACAGCTAAGATGTATTACAATGAGTATATATTAAGGATATATACCGGGATCATAAGAGAAAAGGACATAGGCAAGGTCTGAAGGAATCCATGTGCAGACTTTCTTGCTTTCTCCTTCCCATGAGGGTCAAATAGAGAACATTCTTTCTCTCAGCAATGAAAATGCAACACCATGTGTGTGATATTTCTGCCCAGGGAAGCTCTTTAGAGACTCACCACCCAGGCTTTTTATTGGGGGCTGGTCAAGTAGGCCCCCTCTTCCTAGCATACACCAAAATTCCAGACTCCTAGAAAGAAAGCAGAAGTTCAGCAGAAACCGTGTTTGTACAAGCAATTTAGGCACAATAAGCCACTCTTATCATTTATTGTAAGTTTTATAACAGCATAGGGAACTGTTTATCAGCCAAGTTCCTAGACACCAGCCAAGGGCCAACATTGTAAGCAGGCCCTTCTAAGGATATCAGTCTCAAGTCTGATATGTTCTTTTCCTTATTCCCAACTTTAATCCATTCTTCACATATCTTCCAGGTGTGTTTTCCACATCTCAGCCCTGAGTCGTCCCTGTATTCAGCATGGGCTAAACATTAGCCAGGGACCCCAAAGAGTCGGTTTTTGTCCCAGCCCCACCAGTAACTCCTATGACCTTGGGTGAATCACATTCCTTGCTTGGCCTTCAGTGTTCCCCTCTCTGAAATGGGCAAGGATGATGGCACCAGCAAAGGGCTCTGGGAATGAAGGAGAGGGTGCGCTATGCTTTGCCAACAGGTGTGCAGCAATGACAACAAGACCTTCGACTCTTCCTGCCACTTCTTTGCCACAAAGTGCACCCTGGAGGGCACCAAGAAGGGCCACAAACTCCATCTGGACTACATTGGACCTTGCAAATGTGAGTATCCTCTTGGGCCCTTCCAGCTTCCCATCTGGGAGAATGAACTCAGCTGGCACTGATGCTGGTTCTGTGTGACCTTGAGCAAATATCTTCCTCTTTCTGAGCCTCAGTGTTCTGATTTATAAATGAGATGATTATCTATGAATAGCTTTTTCTCAGCTATGAATTCATGACATCTTCTGGGGAAGGACTGAGCGACTGTGGAAGCACCAGAGAAGGGAGGATTTTTGGAGCCTCTAGCTAGCCCCTTATAGACAATTGCATTACTTTAATAATAAGGAAGCTCTACTTTGGTGCTAATCCAAATCCTTCCTGCTTCAATACTGTAAAGCAAAAATGATGCTCTACCTGGGCATGCATTATTTTTAAAATATTTTAAAATAGGGACATGCCTATCCAGTTCCTTTTAAGCCCTGTTACTCAGTATTGTCTTATCTTTAGCCATTTTACTCTTCTATGTTCCTATCTGCCCTCTTAAGACATGATTGACCACCTTCTTCTAGAAACCTGGGAGTCAGGTGTTTGCGGGAAGGAACACCAGGATGTTGTCTGGCCTTGTATTAGTGATCCCAGCTGTAGATTCACTAGCCCAGGTACCTCGTTCAGTGTTGGTGTCTTCCCTATCACCCAAGGCCATGCCTGCTTCTTCAAGACAACATCCACATTGTGTGTTCAGTACGTTCCACCACCAGGTGGCACTGGGGAGAGTCACTCACCTGCTTCAGGTGTGCAGGGTACAGAAAAGTGAAGGGGAAAACAAGGTTCTCCTTGTGCACCCTTCCAATTGTGGGGCCCAGGATGTGAAATGAGAAGCAAAGGCCTGGAGAAAGAGAGTAGGGGGAGGAAATGTTGGAGGGAATTCTCGGGCCGAGAGACTAAGATTGTTCCAAGGAGCTTTTACCAAATGGCATTTGCTGTTCTTTGGGCATATTGCTCACTCACCCTAACTCCTAGTGTTTCCATCACAGATGTTCTCTTCTACTCCCCAGCTGGAAATCAAGAGTGTAGTGGTCCAAACCCACAGAGAGGCTTTTCATAGGTCTAAGAATGAGGGGAAAATAAACTCTTGAGCCCCCAGGCAACCACCTGCCCTGGGAGCTGGATGAGGCTTTATTATGTGGCCTTGAGCAAGCCCCTCCTCCACTCTGACCTCAGTGTCCACATCTGTCCGATAAGAGGGGTGGACTTAGATGAAAACCTCCAGCTCTGACAAAGTGGATTTCTAAGTTCCAAAGACCAGGATGGAAGGAATCGTAATCTCTAAGGAAATTTTGGTGGTTAAGCATTCTTCTCATCCAGCCATTAAGCTGGGCCTCTAGATGGATGTTATTTCTCAGCCTCCCAGCATTGCATACCTTTCAGTGGTTGACTTGAGCAGCATGGGGCCTCCTGGCCTCTGCTATGATCACTTCTGGGGCCCATCACCCAAATGCAGGGTCCAGAAGTTGCAGAGGCAGCTGACTTGAAGGAACCATTTCCCCCCAGAGATCAGATCAAGGTCAAGGGAGCAGCAGACGTGCCTTTGCACTTTTCTGTTTCAGAGTATTCTTCCTCCCACAACCTCCTTTGTTCATTGGGTGTACAGAGAAGTGAGGCTGCTCTGCCAAGGTCATGGATGGAAGTGGTTAGAGAAGGAGGGCAGGGGTGAGGAGAGCACTCCAGGCAGCATGTGAGCCCTCGGGCGGGGAGGCTCAGGGTTTGTGTTGACCACTCTTGTTTCAAACCCTAGACATCCCCCCCTGCCTGGACTCTGAGCTGACTGAATTCCCCCTGCGCATGCGTGACTGGCTCAAGAACGTTCTGGTCACCCTGTACGAACGGGATGAAGGCAACAACCTTCTGACTGAGAAGCAGAAGCTGCGAGTAAGTGGTCTCTTTCCAGCCCATCCAGGGTGCTAGCCTGGCCCTGAGCTGATCTGTTCTTTGGCCCTGGAATAGCTGAGATCCACACACAGTTCCTAAAACTAGACCCCCCCTGTAAGCCAACATCCCCACCCAGAAGCAGGCATTCACCGTGGGCATCGGGACACATACTTCTCCTCGCTGCCCTGGGAGGCTCATAGAGTACACGAACATCTTAAAGGCTCTGAGAAGTCTAACCCAGTCTTAACTAAAAAGATACAAGCCACCCTACTCTTTTTTTTAAGTTCTGAGTCAGTGATTTTTAAACTTTAGCGGGCATATCACTGGAGGTTCTGATAAAATGCAGATTCCTGGGCCCCACCCCAAGCCTACTGAATTAGTCTCGATGAAGTAAGGCCTAGAAAACTGCATTTTGACACACTTGCCAGGTGATTTTGTTGTGGGTAGCTCTACGGAGACCCTCAGTGAGATGGACTGACAAAATAACCACAACAATGAGCTCAAACATAACAAAGATCATGAAGATGGCACAGGACCGGGCAATGTTTCATTCTGTTGTACATAAAGTCACTATGGATTGGAGCCAACTCCGTGGCAACTGACTACAACAACAAAAACAACAGCTCTATGGCACACCTTTTGAGAAATTCTAGGGTACACTCTGCCTGGATCATCCCAGGCCACCACTTTTGTGAAAGATCCCCATCTCTACTGCTTCCTTCCTCCTCATCTTTAGTCTTGGTCTTGGCTGATCTCTACCTGCTCTGGCCTCCTGCCAGAGGTAGGAGGGGTCCTGACTGGCCTGGACAGTCTCCCTGAACCCTTTGTCACACAGTGTCTCTGTTTCCACAGGTGAAGAAGATCCATGAGAACGAGAAACGCCTGGAGGCTGGAGACCACCCCGTGGAGCTGCTGGCCCGAGACTTCGAGAAGAACTACAACATGTACATCTTCCCCGTGCACTGGCAGTTCGGCCAGCTGGACCAGCACCCCATTGATGGGTAAGACCCAGGCCCTTGGGGACCACAGGGGTCTGGCTTGGGTTGGCCCTGGAGTGGACCAAGTCATGGGTCAGGGCTGGATGGTGCACTAGATACGGACCAGAAACCTTCCAGCATCCTCTGCTGCTTCCAACCCTGGAGCCCACAGTTTGCTTAGGGCTGGGGGCAGGAGGGAACAAGAATCTGGAGAAAGGATGCAGATGTGAGAGGAAGGACGTGGTAAGACACTCATTCATTACTCCAGAAGGGGCAAAAGTCGGAGTGAACTGGAAATCTCTCCTTTGTGCTGAGAGTGCTGGGGCAAAAGGAATTAGGAAGGAATGCCAGACTCCAAGGGGTGGTGGGGGCTGAGGGTGGGGGCTGTAGGCCTCCGAGGGGGGCTGGAAGTCTGCAGTGTCTGAGCCCCACTCTGAGAGCCAACCCAATTACTGGCCCTGGGGGTTCTTAAAAAATTCACAGTCAATTCCATCCACATTGAAAGCCCTTGGTTTGAAGGCTCTTGCCCTTGTCCAGATGAGTTAAGAAGTGCTATGTAACTGCTCTGCAGGATACTCAGGCAGTCGGTTAGTTCACACACATTGATGGTCTATGGGCCCAGCATTTTAAGAATAAATTGTATTGTGAAAATATATATAACAAAACAATTTCTAATGTACAATTCAGTAGCATTGATTGCATTGCATTCTTTAAGTTGTGCAACGATTCTCACTATCCTTTTCCATATCATTCCACGACCATTAACATAACCTCAATGCCCCCTAAACAAAAGCCCAGCATTATTTAATACGGGATTTAGCAGTAATCAGAACAGACAGGGTCCCTGCCCCAGTGGAGCTCACACTCCATGTGATGATCTGGTCAAAGGATCTGCTTCTCACAACTGAAGGAAAAATTAAAAAGGCTCCAGGAAGGTGCAGGAGGTGGCTTGCTCCATCTGGGGCTGGGCAGGGGCCCACCCCTGTCACTGCCTTCAGACCTCTCCTGCTATGTGTTCCTGTGAGGAGCATGGGGAGAGGAGGGTGGCCCTGCTCTCATGCCTGGGGAGTGAGGTGGGGCCCAGAGACGCTCCTCTCTGCATGCTTACCCCTTACTCTTTGTCTAGCCCGTGCGCCTGGACCCTGTCCACCCTGACAGTGATCCTGGGTGGCTGGGGTCTCCTGAGTTCTGGGAAGCTCTCAGCTGCTTCTCTCCCAGGCTGCATCCATGGCTGGGATCCAACTGAGTCACTCACTGTGGAGTCGTGGGGGCCGACATCTGGAACTCAGGCCAAACAGCTGGGTCCCACCACAGCAAAGGGTCCTGGAAGGGAAGTTTCCAGATGGGCTGCAAGGACTGTGTATCTGGGAAAGTGCTCCATCCCCAGGCTAGGGGATCCATGTTTTCCTCTTCTTGCCCCAGAGCTGCGGTGTGGCCTTGCCTGGGCCCTTGGGCCTGCCTGGGCCTCAGTTTTCCCACCAGCACAGTGAAGGGAGTGTGGGGGGTGTCCTTCCAGTTCAAACATCGTCCAGTTTCTCCCATGAGTTGGGTGGGGCTGAGGGTTTGGAGGTTAGAGAGAAAGTTGGGGTCACATTGTTCTGTGGAACTTCTTGGAGAAGAGTATTTTAGAGACAGCTGGCTGGGGGCTCTGGAGAACAAGGGAAAAAATTACACATGTGTTCTGGAGTCCAAGGCCAGCAGGGAGAAGAGAGGTGGAGTATAGTGGCGAGGGAAAGCAGAAGGGCCTCCCTCTCAGTCATTAAATGCTATTTTAAAAACGTGAAAGCTCTATGGAGAAGGATAGAGTTCTGTTTGACCCTCACTGCCAATCCTGGTCACTTCACAGTCCCCACCCTGGAAGGCAGCACACTTTGGTGCATCTCTTTTGAGACCCTTTCCTGGACATTTGCAGCTGTGTCAGTGCACATCCATAGAAAACATACAGTGTTGTTTCATGCCAGATTTGATCTGTTAGGATTCTCTCTGCTGCCAGCTCTCAACCAATTAGGAAACAATTAAATACACCAAGAGGCCTCTTCTATTGAGCCCATGGCACCTCAGAACTGGAAGGGCCATTAGAAATAGTGGCCAACTCCTGCTTCTATTTGATGGGTGGGGAAAATGAGGCTCAGAGAGGGGCATTACGGTGCTCTAAGTCACACAGCAGGTCAATGAGTAGTAGAGCTGGGGTAGACCCAGGATCCTGGCTTCTTGCCCTGCATTGAGCATCCTTTCCCCTACCTCCTTCCCTGCAGGTATCTGTCCCACACCGAGCTGGCCCCACTGCGTGCCCCCCTCATCCCCATGGAGCACTGCACCACCCGCTTCTTTGAGACCTGTGACCTGGACCATGACAAGTACATCGCCCTGGACGAGTGGGCCGGCTGCTTCGGCATCAAGGAGCGTGAGTGTCTGAGAGACAGGTCCAAGTGTCACCACGGCCACGGTCAGGGCATCCCAGCCTCAGTCAGGAGCACTGCTCCTGTGGTGGGCTGTCGTCTCCTTCCCTCTCTCTGCTCCCTCTGTCTGTGTGTCTGTCTTCTCTCTGTCTTGGCTCTCTCTGTGTGTCTTTCTTCTCTCTGCCTGTCTCTCTTTTCTCTGTGTGTCTGTCTACTCTCTGTCTCTGCTTTCTCTGTCTGTGAGTCTGTCCTTTCTCTGCCTGTCTCTGCTCTTTCTGTCTATTTGGCTCCTATCTGCTCTCCCTGTCTGGGTGGGCCTCACTCTCTCAGGCTATCCTCCTGATCTCTTGTCCATCCGACTGTCTCTTTCTCTTTCCCTTCCTCAAGTGTTAGCGCTCATTTTGTGCCACGCATTATTTTGAGAAGTGACAGGCACAGAGACGAAAACAGGAAGTGTAACTTGGCAGCATAAGAGATGGGGACAGGCCAGAGACAGGGAGACAAATACTCTTCAGACACTGACTTCCTGTGTGACCTTGGGCTGGTCACTTGGCCCTTGGTCCTGGGGGTGGGTGGGGACCGTGGATCCCTGGGGAAGTGTGTCTTCCTGGACACAGGGCCTCATCCTTAACTCTGCTCTCTTTTCTTGCTTTGCAGAGGATATCGACAAGGATCTTGTCATCTAAATCCATGCCTCCTTCCACAGTACCCGGATTCTTTCTCTTTGACCTTCCCCTTCCTGTTTCTCCCAAAAATGTTTAAAATGTTTGGATGGTTTGTGGTTCTGCCTGGGGACAAGGTGCTAATATAGTTTAAACGAATATATTAACGGTGCTAAAAATGGAAATTGTAACCCAAGTCATGACACCCATAGTTGTAACTCGACTATCAAGGCCTGTTGCTCACCCACTAACAGCCCCGTTTTTCTCTTGCCTTTTGCAGCATTGCCCATTGTCTTGCTGGCTTATGGGTGGAAACTTTGATCTGCTCAGGTCTGCCTTAAACACACATTACATCTTCAGAGTCTCTCTCTTTCTGTGTTTGAAACTAATACTCACCAAATCAGACTTTGTGTTAATTTTATTTGAGGGTGTTGGCTGCCTGGGGGATCTTCCCTAGACAGTCCGGAGGTGGGTAAAGGGAAGTAATGGACATGTGATGTTGGCAAGGATGTTTCTGGGACTAGAGGACCAGTGGTAGGGGAACCCCTGCAGAACCCACTAACCAGATCCTCAGAGAGCAAGTCTTGCTTACCTGGGGCTGCAACTGAGAGAAAGAATCTGGGGCCGCCAAGTTATGAAAATACATAAGCTCTTACATAAACCCAGGCCCTCACCATTTTCCCCCTTACTTTTCAGTGCAGTTGCTCTTCACATTAGGCTGTTTGTTCAAACTTTTGGGAGCCGCGGACCACCTGCAAAGCCCATGGAGGTGCTCTACCACCTCCCACAAAGCTTCTCTTCTCCTAACTGTCTTGGGGAAATGCAGGCTTCTCCTGGGGGGCTGTAGGGACTGGGAGGCTGTTTGAGCCAGGAAGGCCAAAATCAAGAGATACAGAACGTTGTAAAATAGAAGTGGAGCTGGTGATTTTTTTTCCTTCCACATTTGGGTGGCTGTCATGAGGAGTTTTTCCTTTGGTTTCTAGCATGTTCTTCCTTTATTCCCCCTCCCTTTTTTCTTCTATTAATCAAGAGAAAACTTCAAAGTCAATGGGATGGTCGGATCTCACAGGCTGAGAACTCGTTCACCTCCAAGCATTTCATGAAAAAGCTGCTTCTCATTAATCGTGCAAACTCTCGCCATGATGTGATGAGTTTGACAAATCTTTCAAAATAAAAAGTAACGACTAAGAAACTGCTCTCCTGAGTGATTCTGCATATGTCTTAGTCACTTCAGTATCCTAACACACAAACACATGTGCGTACATGTTCACACAAGGCTACTCAAATGAAAACCTTAGCAGACACATCATTATGCTTTTGTACACACAGCCGTGGAAATGGCACAAGACGGGGCAGCATTTCGTTCTGTTGTGTGTGGTTCACCATGAGTTGAGGGTCAACTCAACGGCAGCTAATAACAAGAAAATACAACTGTACACACACAATTATATATGTATACAAGGAAGTGTATAATTCCTCTAAGCGCTAATATAGCTAACTGATTTAATTCTATGACCTCTGGTCTGACTCTTTTCATTATTGTACTTCATTATTACAAGTACCAGACTAAGCAACTCTCCCCTTTCACTCATACATTTGTTTCTTCATTTATTTATTCAACAAATACTTTTGATGTGCTTACTCTATACTGGAGCCCTGGTGGCGCAGTGGTTAAGAGCTCAGCTGCTAATCTAAAAGTTAGCAGTTCAAATCCACCAACTGTTCTTTGGAAATCTTATGGGGCAGTTCTACTCTGTCCTATAGGGTTGCTATGAGTCGGAATCGACTCAACAGCAAAAGTTTTCTTTTTTTTAACTCTTCTAGGTCTGTATAACGGTGGGTAAAGCAGGCAAAACATTTTTCTTGAACTTATAATTTAGATCGTTGTTGGTGCCATCGAGTCATTTTCTCGACTCATAGCGACCCCATGTGACAGTAGAACTGCCCCATAGGGTTTTCTAGGGTATGGTCTTTAGGGAAGCAGATTGCCAGGTCATTTCTCCCAAGGAACCGCTGGATAGGTTCAAGCTACCAACCTTCGGGTTAGCAGCCAGGCACTTAACTGTTTGTGCAACCAGGGCTATAGTTTAGGTAAAGATACATAATGTATCATACATTAAATAATCTTACAACTCCAAGTGGCGCCGAGGCACTGAGGGGTCATGGCTGCACCCTGCATGAAAATTCAGAACTGCAGCCCCAGGGAGCGAAACAGCATCATTTAGCTCTTCACTATGAAGTTAGGAAAACCTAAAGGGGGTATTTCTCGGGGCTCAAGCCAAGGAAAAGCCTATGAGAACCAGTGCAAAACAGCACGGCAGTGGCAGAAATGGGGAATGGCTGCTCGGTTTGACTCAAGCTTGAGAAGACTGAAAAGAAGCTTGGATGATGTCTTAGTCATCTAGTACTGCTTTAACAGAAATACCACAAGTGGATGGCTTTAACAAAGGGAAGTCTATTCTCTCACAGTCTAGTAGGCTAGGAGTCCGAATTCAGGGCACTGGCTCCAGGGGAACGCTTTCTTCATCGGCTCTGGAGGAAGGTCCATGTCATCAATCTTCCCTTGGTCTGGGAGCATCTCAGCACAGGAACCTCAGATCCAAAGGATGCACTCTGTTCCGGGTGCTGCTTTCTTGGTAGTATGAGGTCCCTGTGTCTCTCTGCTGGCTTCTCTCTTTTATATCTCAAAAGAGGCTTAAGACACTATCTAATCTTGTAAATCTCATCAATATAACTGCCACTAATCCATGTTATTACTTCATAGTGATAAGACTTACAACACATAGGAAAATCACATCAGATAAACTGGTAGACGATCACACAATTCTGGGAATCATGACCTAGCCAAGTTGACAGATATTTAGGTGGGACGTAATTCAATCCGTGACAGATGAGAAACCCTATAAACCTATTGAATGTGAAAGGAGTTTCAGAGTTCAACTCTTTTTCAACATCAGAAAATCCACACTGGAAAGAAATCCCATAAATGTGCTGATTGTGGGAGAAGTTTCTTTCAGAGTTCTAATCTCATTCAACATTGGAGGATCCATACAGGGAAAAAGCCCTATAAATGTGATGAGTGCAGAGAAAGGTTTAAACCAGGGCTTCAAACTGGTTCGGTCTGGTTAGAACCCCTGCTGAGAATTTGCATTTCCACTCCAGATATACCAGATCAGAATTTACAGCTTAACAAGATCTTCAGATGATTCTTATATATTTTTTTTTCAATTTTTTATTTATCTTCACTTTTTTGTTGTTGTTGTTGTGCTTTAGATGAAGGTTTACAGAGCAAATTAGTTTCTTACGGAACAATATGTATATTGTTTTGTGACAATCGTTGTCAACCCCACGACATCAATACTCTCCCCTTCTTGACCTTGGGTTCCCATTACCAGCTTTCCTGTCCCCTCCTGTCTTCTTGTCCTCGCCCCTGGGCTGGTGTGCCATTTAGTCTCCTTTTGTTTTGTGGACTGTCTAATCTTTGGCTGATGGGTGAACCTCAGGGGTGACCTCAGTACTGAGTTAAAAGGGTGTCCGGGGGCCATACTCTTGGGGTTTCTCCAGTCTGTCAGAGTAGTAAGTCTGGTCTTTGTCAGGTAGAATTTTGTTCTACATTTTTCTCCAACTTTGTCCTCTTACGTATGATAAATTTTGAGAACCACTGCTCTGCTAGTGGTTCTCAGAATTGGTCCCTAACCAGCAGTATTAGCATCACCTGGGAACTTGTTAAAAATGCAAATTCTCAGCAGGGGTTTGAACAAGGTAAACCGGTTTGAAGTCCTGGTTCAAACAGAGCTCGAGTCTCATTCAGCACCAGAGAATTCTTGCTGGAGAAAAACCCTACCAGTGCCATAAGAGTAGCTGATGTTTCAGCCAGAGTTCCCACCTCACTCAACATTGAGAACCCATGCAGGAGAGAAACCCTACCAGGGCAGTGAATGTGGCAAATGCTCCAGACAGAGCTCACATCTCAGGCAACACATGAAGGTACACAAAGAAGAGAAGCCTCTTAAAACCTGGAGCAAAAATATCAGGGCAAACACAGTGTCGTCTTGGAAAACTGGCACTAGAAAGAAGTCAGTGGCTCATCTCTGCTAAATAACAGGTGCTGCTTCAGCCCTCTTTTAAGAAAAGGCCATCTCTTCTAGAACTGGAGATGCTTTGTGGTAGAGCACTTAAACACTGGGTCCTTTGCTAGCATTGAGACATCGGGGGTTTAGTAACATTATTGGGATGAAAGAAACTATATGAGCCCAGCTGTTCTCATTTCTTTTTTTGTGAGACTTGGATCACAGAGAACTGAAAATATCTTCTGAGAGAATTCAAGATCCTCTGACCTCATTTGAAATTGCTTCCGATGTCATTGACAAAAACCATCATGTTTTGATGACACGTGTGAAAGCGCAGGGATATGCCAGTGATAACTCAGGTTTAGGACTTTCTGTGCAAGGAGTGATTGAACAAAAGGGAGAGAAAATTAATTCCATTAGTTCTGGAGTTCAGCACATGAGGACTTTTTATGTTGTTTGTAAAGTTTCGTAGTTTATTAACAGATGGTTTTATAATATGAATTGGAGATTCAACATACTAAAAGGTATTCGCATTCAGATTCTTCATCAGCAAAGCCCATCACTCTAACTTAGATTTCTTTTGTTTCTTCCTGTCTTAGTCATCTAGTGCTGCTATAACAGAAATACCACAAGCAGATGGCTTTAACAAAGAGAAATTTATTCTCTCCATAGTCTAGGAGGCTAGAAGTCCAAACTCAGGGTGCCAGCTCTGTAGGAAGGCTTTCTCTCTTCAGTCTTCCCTGGTCAAGGACATTCTCAGCTCAGAGACCCCAGGTCCAAAGGATGCACTATTCTCCTGGCTCTTGTTTCTTTGTGGTATGAGGTTCCCTTGTCTCTCTCTTCGCTTTTCTCTTTTATATCTCAAAGGAGATTGGCTTAAGACACAACCTAATCTTGTAGGTTGAGTTCTGCCTCATTAACATAACTGCCACTAATCCCATCTCATCAACATCATAGACAATTTACAAGACATAGGAAAATCACATCAGATGACAAAATGGTGGAGAAGCACACAATACTGGGAATCATGGACTAGCCAAGTTGACAGATTTTTGGGGGACACAATTCAATCCATAACACTTCCCTTCTGCTTATAGACAAGTATTAAAAGAGTAGAATTGCCCTGTTTTTCACCAAATTCTTAGTAAAAGATACCATAGAAGCCAAAACGAGAATTGAATTAGACCACTCATCTACTCCTACTAATACTGTTCCTTTGAAGGCATTGCTGCTCTGTCACCTGTTTTTCACAGTTGTGATGGATTGACATTGATCCACCCCCATGCCCTTGAACTTTTGGCATTATCTTGTGCTCTGACAAACTGAGCTAACCTTTTAGACTTACGTGGATAAATAATTACACTGTATTTTACCAACACAAGCTCAGCTTGCTTCTGGCTAATTGAAAATCTACAATGTACGTGTCTCCCTGCCTTCCCCTTTGAGACATTTAGATAAACTTGGTCATCTTAAGCAAATGTTTGTCAACAGCAAAAGTCATTTAAGTGCCAGTGCATTGTAGCAGCTTGCAAATCTAAGTTAACTTTTTCTGCATTACGTGAATTATTTAAGAAGTCTCAAAAACCTATTTGTTAACTTCCATCAGAACAGGGCCAGGTGTCAGACATTCTGATCAACATTCAGCTCATGTTTAATTTCTATTGAGTGCTAAAATTCTTCTGATTTTTCTACCTTATAATCCATTAGGAGCCCTGGTGGTGCAGTGGTTAGGAGCTACAGCTGCTAACCAAAAAGTTCAGTGGTTTGAATCCACCAGCCGCTCCTTGGAAACCCTAGGGGGCAGTTGTACCCTGTCCTGTAGGGTCGCTATGAGTTGAATTGACTCAATGACAGCAGGTTTGGTTTGGTTTTATAATCATATTAGTTCCTGCTGTATTAATGACAATTATCCATAAAAAACTAAATATTTTGCGTAAAAGATAGCAATTTTACCACTCAATGTAAATTATGAGCTGTGATAGGTGCAATGAAGGAAGGCAGGAGCATACGGCACTGTCCTGCGTGGTAGCCACTACTCACGTGCGGCAATCTAGATTTAAATGTGAGTAATTAAAAATTCAGTTCCTCAGTCACACTGGCCATATTTCAAGTGCTCAACGACCACATGTGGCTAGTGGCTATCCTATGGATCCAAGCAGATCTAGAACATTTTCATCATCACAGAAAGTTCTCTTGGTCAGCACTGATCTAGGGCATCTGGGAAACTTCCTTACAAACATCTGAACTGAGTCATAAAG